CTCATATCCTCCAACTTTATTCTTCATGAACTGAACAATGTTGCGTTGTTTTATTCCTGACTGTCGCATCCCTATCGCCAGAGCCTTGTCTCCTTCACTCACATTTCGGACCGAAGGAATTGAGTTTCTTCTTCATTGCAGCAACGATGTGAGTGCTTCCTCTCAAACTTAGAAACAACCCACATTTTTTATTCCGATCAAAGCGTACAGTATACGATGCCTTGCAATAATGTCTTGTCATCTTACGATGTTGTCGATTCCGACCTTCTTTATCTATATGCATCTTATCTCTATTCCCCTCTCTCGAACATACCATTGTCCTCCCAATTGCAACTCCTCGACGATTCCTCCGAAGATCTCTACGTCGAACGCTAAATCCTTTCGCTTTAGCATAGGAATCGTAAAATTTCTCTGCATCTTCTAATGTTTGGAACTCCATGGAAGGAATTTGTTGTTCATATTCAGTATCTTCTTCATCATCCATAAATTCTTCTTCAGCACCCTCGGTTTCATTATCATCCCCAACCACTTCATCATCCGTATTATCTGTATCATCTGAATTATCCATAGCTCCTTCTTGAGCATCCTTAGGTTCCTCATCGAAGTTAACCTCATCATCATCATCTCTATCATCTGTATCATCTCTGTTATCCATCCTGAAACGATCAGAATACGAACTTAATGTCAAAAACATACACAATTAGCTCTCGTCAGGTCGACCTGAATGAACTGTACGGTCGACCTTATTACTAAATAACAAACATGCGGTCGACCAGAATTTACTGAAAGGTCGACCTAATCATATAATTACAAAAGTACGGTGGACCGGATGGTGGGAAAAATTTAACCACATACAAGCATTAACAAGCACATACGAGACATACCTTAGCAAAGAGGTCAACCACTTATTGTTACGGTCTACCGGAATAAAAATAAACCGCCACCAACACCCGATCACAATAAGAGCGATGAGATTACAACTTCACTCCAACAAATTGCATAAATCGAAGTACGATTAAAGTTTTCAGACTCCCATCTATTTATAGATAATGTAGACGAATTCCTTATCCAATTGGTGAAAGATATATAAAATCATAATTCGACAAGGACAAGTACACAAAATCCTAATTGTACAAGGACATGATTCATTAAGGTCGACCTCTTTGCACAAATGGTCGACCGTCTTGGGTAAATGTGAAACATGTCGACCTCTTTACTGAAATGGTCGACCATTGTTTATAAATGTGAAACAGGTCGACCTCTTGACACGAATGGTCGACCGTATTTTATTAAGGCCAAACTGACGAGATTCCATCCATGTTCTACATGGTTTTTGACTTTGCTACGGTATCATAGGTCAACCTTAAGCGTCACGAGGTCGACCTGTGCTCTGCCTTTGGGTATTCCCGCTTTGAGTATGTGGTCGACCACTTGTTCTAGACAATTGAAATCGTAAATTCAGTCACATCCATAATTGTATAACAAATCTAATAAACGATAAACATTCAAAATCCAAAATGAAACAATCTCGCAAATACAAATTCAATGTATGGTCCAAATAATGCAACATTGTAACTTAACAACTTCATTTCTTTGCTTTTTTGTTTGAACTCTGTCTCTCTTTGCCTCGTTCCATGCATTCATCTACTACATGCTTGAAAAGATTTTCTCGTGCAAGGTTTTCAAAATGTGTAGCCAGATACCATAGAATCTCCTTTCGAGCCGGTAATTTGTGTTCTTCTCCTATCTGCATTATGCCATGTAAGATTTCGTTACAACTAAAAAAAGTGTAAATTAAACAAGTTATTTGTTTGACGATATACTCACCACTCTATCAAGATCCTTGGATCCATAGCGCATCCACTGCATGACGTGCACACCACATTCAGTACTATTCCTTTGCCGTTGAACTCGTAGCTCATCAAAATTGAAATCTCCAAAATTTGGTACTCCTACATTGCTCATGCGCTCCGGTTTGAAAATATCATCCAAATTGGACAACTACACACAAATAATGAATATTTTAAGTTTCTAGCATAATACGTGACACTTAACAGTCAGAAAATTATAGGAAACACTTACCAATTTCTTGCATAGTGCTGATTTACGCCTACGATTCGCCTCACTAGTTGAAGGTAGACTGTCAAGCAAAAATGCAGTTTTTTGCTGGACATTGACGAGATACAGAAACCAATGACGTGCTTCATCGTCAAGAACTGGCATAAATATCTAGCAACGAAACACTCACTATATGTTATAAACAGCGAATACAAGCAAATGCACTTTCGAAATTTAATGATAGAGGGACATTGACTAGACTAACCTTCTGGCATGCACTGACATTCGGCATAAAGACCACGCCATCATTCATCAACTTGTTACGAATTTGTCTGGTCTTCATGTTAGCGCGTACCATTTTCTGCACCATGTTTTAGTTGAGATGAATTGACATGGTACAATATAAATAACTAGGTTATGACAAATAATTTGACATTACGGCTCTTACCGAAAACATATTTGGCAAATACCACACGTTTGGCTCTTTCACATCATGTTTTTCAGACATTGTTAGTGCCCTTGCACACAAATCCACTACCTACCATCCAACAATCAAACACAAAATCATCATAAATCGTAACATAAATAGTGCACAATTCATACGAAAGTCGTAGTAGTATAGTACTTACTGATGAGCAAACCCAGCTATTCTCGCTAATGACCGAACTCAAATAATGTCGTTGCACGTTTTCAGAAAAAAAGTCCACAACGGTCAAATTGCAAAAATCAAAATAACAGAAATGTCAATTGTGATTTTCAACGTACAGGTCGACCTGTTCATAGTCACGGTCGACCTTATTGGAAAAGCGGTCGACCTCATGACCGATCCGGTCAACCACACGTACTAAAAAACGTCTTACTTGTCCCAATTCTTGTCCCCAGCCTTCTCTTTAGTAACAACATAATACAAGTCTTCAACTGGATTTTGAAGATTTTTGGTGAATCCTTCTAGACCCTCCACTTTCATGACCTACAAATCATAGTTAAAATTAAAGTAACATATGAACACAAACACACATTATAGATGAATATGTAACGTAAACTTACCCCGTGCTTTTCGAAAGGACTCTTAGATTCATCTTCATCGCTATCATCACTAAATAATCCTTTTCTTACAAATTGATCCTTCTGTGGAGTTGTGTAGGAGTCACTTTCATATCGCGGTCTCTTGTACTTAGGAGAGGAACCCTTGCTGCCATTCGTTGTTTCACTCTGTCAAACATATAAACAAAACAAATTAGCACTAATGATAGTAATACTAATATCTTCAATCACATATGAATATACTTGGATACCTTTAAAATGTGCTCTTTCAATAAATCGTCTATGCTCTGGTAGCAATTTTCAGAGTCATCATGGTCTTCTTCCTCTTTACCAAAGTCAAATTTCTTTCCTTTACCATTTCTTCCGCCATTCTCCATTCGTTCTGCACTTATATCTTTGATAGCACCTTCTAGCCTCTCAAACCCGTCATGCATCATCCCAGTCATGTCTGTCAGTCGAACTGACAATTGCTCCACTCTATCACACATGGACTACTGAAAGTCATTGACTTGTGTTTGACACACCACCAGCTTCTCTTGTGTGGCTTTCAACAATTTCATGATTTCACCCAAATCTTGATGCAGTTTCTCATCATGTGTCATTGTCTAAACAATTTCAAGAAAAATTTAAATCATAATTCAACTACAAATTTCTACAATTGACCAAAAAAAAAAAAGACGTGGTCGACCTGACAAAGTATTAGGTCGACCTGGAAGACAAATAGTGACTACCACAACCATTAAGGTCGACCTCTGTTATTCCTAGGTCGACCTATCCAGCAGGAAAATAACAATTAACAACAAAAAGTAAGTTCAAAATTAAACCGAAAAAAGGATAGGTCGACCAGATATCTGGCGCGGTCGACCTTTTCAAGCACAACATAGTCATACAATCAAAGCCAAAGTCGACATTCAGGTTGAATAACCAAAAAAACAGGAACGGTCGACCTTGAAACCCATTAGGTCGACCAATTGGGTTACCTCGCAAGTACAGAAATCCAAGTGTTGTGGCCTAAATTCAAATACGCAGAATTGTCTCGTCAGGTCGACCTGGTTGACGTCACGGTCGACCGAATGGAATTCTGCACCCAACAATATATCAAATTAGCCGGTAGAAATCACGCATTAGAAAAGAAGACGATGAATGGTACATTAGGTCGACCTCACCTTAGACCTGGTCGACCACTTCCAACGCGTACAACAGCAACCGCGAACGATCTTCTTCACAAAGGCTCTTAATCGGAAAAAAACCTAATTCAGACTTGGAGGCGTTGAAGGGGACTTATATTCGTATTTATAGAGATTTAGGACGTCAATGGGTCGACCCAATTCGTTTCCTTGTCCAATTGTGGAACCTTTCTGGTGTTGGAATCCATATCCAATACAGATACGATGTGAATGCGGTCGACCTCTTCATAATGCGGTCGACCTATGAGATATTTGGGTCGACCTTTCATTCTGTTAGACCACCAAAGCGGTCGACCGTATTATGTAAGAGGTCGACTGCGTCTCGGAACCCCACATACATGAATTAGTCCATTCGGTCGACCGCATGTTGGATTAGGTCGACCGAAAAGTCCATGTCATGGTGACATGCATGTCACCGTAGCAAAATCCTAAAAGATAAAGTAGGAAAAAAAACTTAAAAAGCAAGATGTAGAACTTCTCTCATTATGATAGATTTAATATATACAAATTTTACAGATTTGAAATATTTAACCTTTACAGATTTGAAATATTTAACCTAAAATCGACGATACGAAAGGCAGCAAACAAACATAACATTATGATAAATCTATAGATTCAATGAACCCATAAACAAAATCATGCTTGTTTTGAGCAAAATGTCGATTTTATTACATTAGTCCTCATTATTATTCAATTTGGTAATATGAGAGTGCACAACTGCACATCTTATTAACATAACCCAGTCAAATATCAAATTAGAACCAAATTCATGAAAACATAATAACATCAACAATCCATCGTTAGAATTCTAAACAAAGTAGTCGCTAATTAACCACCATACTAAAAAAACACAAGCTCATTAATAAACATGATACCGTAATTAAGTTAACATCCCCCCAACATAAATACGATAAAACTAGCTAGGCATCTCTCGCAACCCGACTAATAAAAACATCAAAGGGAGAGCCAGATGTACCATAATATAATTAGTTACTAATTAGCGTAATAATATTTTCTCTTCTTTAGCCACCCTTCAAACTCTGGTGGCTAATGATCCTCCGGAATCGTCTCTAAAGCCGGCCTCCACACACCATCTTCACAATTACCACCACCATCTTCCATTCTCCTCCCTTTCGAACCAAACCTCCCGCGATACTCTCTCAGCTTCACCGCCCTCACCAGCTCCTCCAAGGAAGACGACCTCAGCTCCTCCCTGTGCTGCTTCAGGATCTCCCTCAACTCATTTTTTGTCACCAGAACTCGAATCCTCACTGCCGCCGTCGTCGGTGACCTCTTCCTTCCATCTTCACCACGCTCCTCCTCGTCGTCGTCACCTCTTTTGACGAACCTCACACTCTTCTTCTGCTTCTGCTTCTTCTCCGTGGCTACGGCCGAGAACCTAGTAGGAGCAGCACTAGTGGTCTTCCTCCTCTTGATCTTCATCAGCTTCTGTGCCAGCTCCAACTGCTCCGAATTGTCGTCGTCTTGTGGCGAGAGGGAGGCGATTTTGTTGCTGTTGTGGTGAACCGTGATGCAATTTCCCATGGTTTGAGATTTGGTGACTAATAATAATCTTTGGTGTTTTTGTTGCAAACTTGGTGGAAGGGAAAACGAAGGGAATGTGGGAGAATGGGAAAGGTGGGTATAAATATAGAGAGGAAGCACATGAAGAAACCCGTTTATTGCGCCGGGTATTGGAGAAGAGAAGGAAGTGGCCAAACGGGTATCTTCAACTCGAGACAACAAAACAAAAAGGAAATGTATAGGTTTGATTATGTAAAAAATATTTTTGGAGAAGGTGGAGAAGAAATGTAGGCGCATGCCAATTTTGTATGTATTAAAAATTGGAGCAGTCACTTTTGCTGGCGACGTTAATGTGTATTTGTTTATTGGAGGAAGCGGCGGGTAAACTATCAGTTTTGTTATTTAATTTTAACTTTTTGTTATTTAAGTAAATTAATCCAAAAGAGTGAGCTTATTTAGAAGCAATGAAGTTTTATACTGAGAGAAATGAATTTAATTACTTGTTGCTATCAGGACGTGATTATTTATGCGGCGAGATTCTCCGGTTTGGGGAGCATTTTCAGTTTGCAAAATGACAAAAACAAGTTTCTTTGGTAGTTCTCGGACGATTTTTTGGATAATAAGTCGGCGAGAACTCGGTTGTGGAGATTAGGGTAAAAATAAGTGAGTTGGCTATTGTCTTAGATCAATTATAATAATTAATATTATTTAAACTGGAACATGGTAATAGATTTTTAAGTACAAATGATTAAGTTTGCAAGATCGCCAGAGAGCCAAGTCTGAGATGACCACATTGATCGCAAGATCTAGACCGATGCAATTAAAATCACATTTTAAAATTTAAAAGTTTACAATTTTATGCTTCTAGGTTGCCAAAACGATTTCGTTTCCATATAATTTTTTTAGTGTATAAAATCGAACTAAAATGCGTCTTAACTTACGCTTTTACGCTTATAGTGCACCAAAATGCTTTATGTTTTTAGTTCACTAAATGTGTATTCTTTTCATGAAATTAATTATAAAAGGTATATTTTAAAGGTAAACCACCAACAATATGATACATTTGAGATTAAAAGATGCATACTTGGTACTTGGATGCATTCTCAGTTCCATAGAGTAATCTGATTCACCAGCTAGGCCCTTCCCAAATTCATTAGCATAGAGGTGAAGCTGGCTTATTTTTAAAATCTATGTTTATGAAGTTATTGTTAAGATGCTATGAGTTGCTATATTTTAGACATGACTTGCGTGGATTTATTATTTTATCTAAATTATGTGCGTTCATATTTTACATAGTATATGTCGTACTTAACAAATTTTTAGTTATTTTACAGTATGCATAAAACTTACGGATTTACGCTTTGATTCTACGCTTTTCGAATTTTTCCCTTTTTTCGTTTCTAGGTAGAATCATGCTTTTTACTGCATTAATCTAGACAACCTTAGTGGCGAGATCTAGATCTAGACCATGTTGGTCGCGAGATTTGGACAACCTCTGTTGTGAGATTAGACCATGGTGGTCATGAGATTTAGACAGTCTTCGTCATGAGATCTAGATTTGGACCACAGTGGTCGCGAGATCTAGCAGCTTTAGTCACGAGATCGAGATCCTGACCACGTTGGTCATGAGATCTAGACAGTGTTGGTCGTGGCGGAGAGGAGGCAAGCACCAGGACTTCAACTTCAACAAAAGAGAGCTCCTAAACGGTTGAAGGAGGCAAGCACCAGGACTTCAACTTCGACAAGAGAGAGCTCCTTCAACTTGACACCCATTTCAAGTTTATCCTTTATCTTTTCTCTATCATGTAGCTATAGAGGTAGCTTTTAGTTTGGAGCTCTCACTGAACCTCCATAGGAGAAGGGGTAATTTAATTTAGTTTTCATTCCTAGAACCATCAATCAAACACCATCGTTAAAACTTTGTTTGAATAGGGGTGAGTCGTGTCTTAGTAATCGTTGTCCAAAGAAGTCAAGGTGCATTAATCGCAATTCAACGCAAATGAGTCAATATTCTTATGAGTGATTTGTGCTTGACTAAAAAGAGGTTTGTTCAAAACTTGGTTGGTTTACTAACAAGTCGAGGTAGACCAAAGCCTTGTTAAGCTCATGAGACTCGTGAGTCAGCTCGACTTGGTGCCTCATTGAACTCAATTCGCAAACTGAATCGTTCTGAGCTCACAAGCTGACTCGAGCGAGGCAGCTCGACTAGCAACTTATTAACTAATCTATCTATAGCTTATGAATTGACATATTGATAGTTCATAAGTTTGTTAGATTATATACTTCACAATATTTGATGATTTTAGACTTATAAGTGACCAAACATCTCTGATTTATAATTTGGAAGAAAAATTATTTACTATAGATTGCCTAAATACTAATTACTAACAAATACCATAATTGAACCTCTCTGCAACCACTCAAGTTACCGAGACAAACGGATTTTTCACATGATATCACAGATTTCTATGATCGAGAGGTATTCTGTTCGAATATAATCCTAGTGACTCCCATTGGTAAGCACATGATGTATGAAGCCTGTGCAACCTTCAAGCTCATGTTAGCATGGTTTCGTTTGAGGGGGAGGGGGGCATGTCAGTATGCGATATAAATTCAGGGTAAATACTAATTATTAGTCAAACCGAATTTACTAAATTATTAGCCAAACCTATTGAAATATAAATAAATAGCCAAACATTAACTTCCCATGAACAATTGCTTTAGTAATGCTGACTAAGCATCACTTTGCTGAGTTGGCTTCCCAAGTGCCGTTTAGCATACCATCATTTTTTTATTTTGAAATTTTTAATAAGGGTAAATACAATTCGTCAGCCAAACGTTTCATAGAAATTGAACCCAATAAATACAACATTTTCTGACAAGCAGCCATTTGTCACCTCACAATCACACATAGATATGCTTTTACGATAATCATTAATTAAATACAGTCTTTTGCAAAGATTGCTTTATGGTTTGATCACGAGCTCGATGGGATGCCGCCTGTGATTTGGTGGTTAATTGCTGATTAGATTATGTTGAAGGGCCACTAATCACGGTGGTTTCTTCACTCCAGCTTTTGCTATCTCGTTGCTACTATGCTTTCATGTCTTGTTAAAGCCAATAGTTACTCAAGTCAATTAGTGTTGCATGTCACCGCTTAGACTAATAACAGTGACTTTTTTCTTATTATTTTAAATTTTGATCTTTTCTCGGTCGTCATATGAGGGACGGCAACGGGGCTTTTTCTAGAATGTCAGCGGCCGCTAGAAATTAGTATGGGAAGGCTCATGCCACAATTTCTCATATCTTTACATCAAGTTTAATTTTGCAACTTGTTATAAAAGTTATGTTGCACCATATTAATATTTTGTTTTCTTATTTGTGTGTAAGTGGAGAATACCCTATTGCATTTGATTATTTCATTTCAAGTATAATTAAGCACTCGACTAACGAGAATATCTTCAATGATTACTCACACAAAATTATAGGATATACTCAACGAAGTGGAGCTTGTTTGGGACACATGATGCAAAAAGTCGAGCTATAATTGAGTCTAGGGCTGGCTATTTGGTCCTGGACTGTTTGGTTTTACCCGAAACCGGATCGTATAACCCGGACTGGGACCGGATAACAAACAATGCAATCTCATATTCGGGCTTAGATTTGAGGTAAAAAACCGGATAAAGACCGGATAAGAGACCCCCAACACCTAAAATCAAGATAAAATTGGGACCGGACCGGGTCAAAATCGGACCGGATCAAGACCGAATTGTATCCAATTCAATTTTTGATCCTTATATTTCCGAAAAGACCGGACTGGGACCGGATCAATTTGGTCCTCCTATTATTTTGATGAGTTCTTCAGAGAAATCGGAGGTTAAGGGTACTCATATATGTTTATAGGGAGGCAAAAATTATCGTAGATGCTATAATGCATAAGGGTCATTTTGATAAAATACTTGTTTGATTATTATTCCATTTAATCCGCATATTACGTACCGACACTTTAGTCGACGCTTTAACAAATAAAGGTTATTTTGTTCTACCGTTCTCTCACAATGCAAGCTATCGCAAATGCATGAATGCACTACCTTACAAGTTACAATCCAAAAAATAAAAAAAGTTTAAAATTCAATCGGAGCCATAAGAAGAGACCCTTTTGCTAGCTAGATCAAGCAATTAGGAAGTCTTTTCAATCAATAAAAGGGATTGGAATGAAATTACAACCGTTAAAGCATAGTAATCAAAAGTCAACACAAATCAACGGCTCTTGTCGGTGTCGTTGCCTAGAGGTGAAAGTATTAAAATAGCGAGAAAACAAAAAACAAAAAACAAAACATTTTTATTGTACATAAGAAAACTTCTGAATACCAGAAAATGAGCACAAACACGGAAGGTGATGGATTCATTTTACGTAATGTTTTCCAAATGATGAATAGTAACACACGATTCAAGGGTTTTGCTTGTAACTCATAAGCGAGAGAAAGACGTTGGTGAACCTTTGATTTATTTGATTGATACGGAATTAATGCCAAATGTACATATTTATAGGCTTAGAAAAGCCTAATACTTAACCTAGTCCTAACCCAATTCGGCTACCCCTTCCCAAACACAAAAGGAAAACTTGACCCAAAAGAAAAAACACCCTAGCCCAAACCGAAACTACCCCAAAGCCGAAAACATGAAAGATAACCTCATCAATCCTTCCCCCTCAAAGAACCTTGTCCCCAAGGTTCGAATCGCGGTCACGACGACGGTGATAAAGGCGGCTGCATTTATGGCGGTGGCGTGACCTCCGTCGTTTCCGAAATTTCCAGGTCGCAGCTTGATCTCTACTCTTCTTCCTCGTACGGGCTAGTGTTACGTGAATCGTTGGGACTTCCAACTTGAAAGCATAGGCACCCCTACGTCCAGAACTTTGCACCATTAAATATCCAGTACTTGGGGCAAACGACAACAGAGAAAACATACCCTCATTAATATAATAATGATCATCTTGGCCCCAAGAAAAAATTGGCCCTTTGCGCGTGCATGGGACGACGCATACGACTTGCCGCAAATCCTCTGATGATCCCGCTAGCTGGGACGTAGCGCGAGCTTTGAGTTCGTCTCGCGCCTCTCCCTCAATCGCGGAACGCGCAGGCAGCTGTTTTCTCTGCTCAAGCGGTGTGTGTCCAAGCCATTTATCCCCGACCACGAGCAGCGCTGGTGTC